CAGGTGCATTAGCAGGGAGCTGGTTTGGAAGTGGAGCAGCCAGGACTCAAACCCGTGCTCTGTGATGCTCAGGGCTGCTGGCAGCAGCTTAGCCCACTGCATCACAATGCCAGCCCCATGGGGTGTTATTGCTTCATGGAGACAGACCTTATGTTTAAGATGATGAAACAGATTTGGAAATAGATGGCAGTAACAGCTACACAACATTGTGAATATACTTAATGCCCCTGATGTGTATACTTACAAACGGCTAAAACAGTAAACTTTAGAGTATACAGCTTTTAGCACCTTTTTTTCTTAATTGAAAACAGACATGATGGATTTCAAGTAGAGGACAAAACATGTGCAAATGTCCTGAGGTTGCTGCAGGCAGCGAAGACAGACAAAACCTGTTAGAAAGTCAAAAGGGCCAAAGCCCCATTGCCTTCAGAAACCAAGGTTAGGAGTTTGGATTTGATCCTAATTGCAGGGGCCATTTCAATGTTGTCAGCAGCATTTCAAGCAAGGGAAGAGGATAATTCAATCTATGTTGTAAGAGGTTTGTGCTTGCTGCTGGATGGGAAAAGGGCTGCGGGGAGCAAGCGTACAAGCGGATTCTTAAAGGGACTCTGAGCAGCACACACATACTGATGGTGAGAATTCCAGCCTGAAAGGATGAGACGGTCCCATGAAGGAGGGGACACACCTGGAGCCCTACAGCTGGGCTGCCCACACGAGAAAGCACTCTTCACCGGACCGGAACACAGGCGGGCCGCCTGCCTCGTGCTCAAAGGAAAAAGCAAGAACGCCAGTCCCTCCCGGTAACCACCCATTTCCACTCTGAACACTCGGAGTCTTTCAGCCATCCTTCCCATAAAATCCACGGGGTCTCACACTTCTTTCCTCATCAGGGGTCTACTTGTCTTTCTGTGCCCCCAGACTCGACGTCCTTAGCTGCAGTAGTGACCATGTATGGCGTCAGACCTGGACTCTGGATGTGTTGTTGATGAGAACAGAGTTAGAGGGACTCCCTCACCTCGCTCCTGGCATGGCTGAATTTCAAAAATTTAGGTTCTGGGGCTGGCACTGTGACGCGGCGGGCAAGGCCGCTGTGTGGGATGCCAGCATCCCATATGGGCACCAGTTCATGCCCCGGCTGTTCCACTTCTAATCCTGCTCCCTGCTAATCCAGCGGAGAAAGCTGCAGAAGATGGCCCAAGTGCTTGGGCCCCTGCACCCACATGGAAGACCTGGTTCCTGGCTCCTGCCTTCGGCACAGCACAGGCCTTGCTGTTGTGGCCATTCAGGGAGTGAACCAGCAGACAGAAGATCTCTCTCTCTCTCTCTCTCTCTCTAACTCTGCCTTTCAAAGAAATAAAACAAATCTTGTTTTTAAAAAAAATCAGGGCTGGTGCCTCAGCTCACTAGGCTAATCCTCCGCCTGCGGCGCCGGCACCCCAGGTTCCAGTCCCAGTTGGGGCGCCGGATTCTGTCCCGGTTGCCCCTCTTCCAGGCCAGCTCTCTGCTGTGGCCCGGGAGTGCAGTGGAGGATGGCCCAGGTGCTTGGGCCCTGCACCCCATGGGAGACCAGGAGAAGCACCTGGCTCCTGGCTTCGGATCGGCACAGTGCTTCGGCCGTAGCGGCCATTTGGGGGGTGAACCAACAGAAGGAAGACCTTTCTCTCTCTCACTGTCTGTCTCTGCCTGTCAAAAAAAAAAATAATAATAATAATCAGGTTCTATAAGCTGCTGTCAACTTGTCAACTTGCAACTTTTCTGGAAATTAAAGAAATAATAACAAAACTACAGGAAATGCAACGCCAGAGAATCGATGGGCACGTGTGACTGACATTTCAATCCATTCCTACCTGGACAGGAAGAGGGGCCACGGAGGCTCCTGCCTTTAGAAGCTTCCAGGCCTCTTTCCCTGTGCTACCACCGCTCTCTGAGGCGCACTTACACGGAGGCCCCGGGTCTGTGTCACGGGCACCCCTGCCGTGTCCAGGAGACAGCAAACGACAGGATCCACCAACTGTAGCCTCAGCAACGGGGGAAGCCCAGCCCGAGCCACAAAGCCCGCAGTCTGTGCCAGAGCTGCCCTGGCAGCCACGCTCACAGCCTACTCGTGCTGTTAGTGGCTTTGTAACCAAGCTGAAAATAGAGTGGCAGCTGGCACGGGGCCCAGCTTCTGGAGCCCGCAGGAGGCTGCAGGCTGGAGGGTAAACCAGAAGGCATGCGTGTGCTCTGAGGAGCAGGCACTGCCGTGGGAAGCCATGTGGTGCCAGGGGGCAGGGGAGGCGGCCGTGGGCAGGCAGAGGGAGTCGTTAGGAGAGGGCGAGAAAGAAGCCAAGGTGCTCCCAAATCCCAGCTCTCTGGGGAATGGAACAAGCACCCTCCTCTGAATCTCAGCCCCGTCATCCAGGGGACCGCTAACCGTCTGAGTACCAGGAACCGCCTCGTTCGCCTTTCCTACATAAGCCCTTGGAGGGGGCTTTGATGTGCACGTCGGCACGATTCAGTCTCAGCTCTGCATTTTAATTGATCCACTGAAAGATCATCTTAGAACTACAATAGGGGCTGGCACCGCGGCTCACTAGGCTGTGGCGCTGGCACACTGGGTTCTAGTCCCGGTCGGGGCACCGGATTCTGTCCTGGTTGCCCCTCTTCCAGGCCAGCTCTCTGCTGTGGCCAGGGAGTGCAGTGGAGGATGGCCCAAGTGCTTGGGCCCTGCACCCCATGGGAGACCAGGATAAGCACCTGGCTCCTGCCATCGGATCAGCACGGTGCGCCGGCCACAGCACGCTGGCCGCAGCGGCCATTGGAGGGTGAACCAACGGCAAAGGAAGACCTTTCTCTCTGTCTCTTTCTCTCACTGTCCACTCTACCTGTCAAAAAAAGAAAAAAAAAAAAAAAAGAACTACAATAGGCCTTCAGATATCTTAAGCTCCGGGGACCGGGGGCCAGTGCTATGGTGCAGTGGCAGGCTTAGTCACCACCTGAGGAGCAGGCATCCCATATGCTCACCTGTCCAAGACCTGACAGCTCCACTTCTGATCCAACTCCCTACTAATGCACCTGGGAAAGCAGCGGAAGATGGCCCAAGTGCTTGGGCCCCTGCCACCCACGTGGGAGACCAGGAGAGAGTTCCTGGCTTCAGCCTGGTGTAGCCCCAGCTGTGAGGCTACTTGAGGAGGGAATGAGCAGACAGAAGATCTTTCTCCCTCTGTCTCTGTTACTCTTTCAAATAAATAAATCTTTTCTTAAAAAAAAAAAAAAAAGAATTTCTTAACCTCCACGGATGATCATGAACTATCAAATGTGCTTCAGAACCTGAACAGCCCACAAGAATATCAAAAGGATGAACTCACCCAGGTACACTACTATGAGTCCCAGTTAGGCAAGAAATTCAATGAAAATGGCATTACTGGGGCCGGTACTGTGGTATGGCAAGTTAAGCTGCTGCCTGAGACTCCAGCATCCCATATGGGTATGGGGCAGGTCCTGACTGGTCCATTTCTCATCTAGCTCCTTGCTAATGGCTTGGGAAAGCAGTGGAGAGGTTGGCCCAAACGCTTGGGCTCCTGCCACCCACATGGGAGACCCAGATGAAGCTCCTGCCTCCTGGCTTTGGCCTGGCTCTTCCTTGGCTGTTGCTGCCACGTAAGGAGTGAACCAGTAGACAAACAATCTCTCTCTTTGTCTCTCCTTCTCTCTCTCTCTTTGTAAGTCTGACTTTCAAATAAATAAATAAATCTTTTAAAAAAGAAAATGGTTTTGTTTCCTTTTCCAAAACAAAAACAATTGTCTAATGTGTAAAAAAAATTATTTTTAAATCCTTCAAAAGAGAAAGTATATAAAACATAAAATCACTCAGGGTCCCCCAGGAGGGAATTATCACTGTTAACAGGTTGCTGTGTGGCCTTCTCAATTTTTTTCCTAAGCATACCTCTACATAGGACATTCTTCAAAAGTAAGATCATGTTATTCACAGAGTTGTAACTCGGAGATACACAGTTAACATTTACCTATGTCAACAAACACTCTCTGCTAACATAATTTTATAGAATACCTGATATTCCACTCTATGTATACTCATGATATATTCAACCCATTCCCTATTCAGAGATATTTGGGGTTGTATCCAATATTTCACTACTATAAACAGTTATAAACAATTATAACTACAGAACATTAGAAGCATGAGGGTTTTACACTTGTCCAAGTGAATAGATTTGAAAACCTGAAAGAAATAGATCATTATCTGGGAATACCCAAATTGCCAAAATTGGCTCAAAAAGGAATTTAAACATACCGGGAACTATAGAAAGAATGTTTAAAGCAACCCAAGACCTACCAAGAAATGTTGACAGTAATCCAAGTACCACAACTGGATGGTTTTCCAGGTGAAGTTTTCAAAGTTTTTATTAATTCTGTTTATCATGTTCCAGAAAATAGAGAGGGAAAATGGTTTTACATTCTTTTCCCAAAATTCAGAATAACACTGTTATCAAACCAAACAGAAATGGCACAGAAATAGAAAACAATCTTAGGAATATCACACAAAAATTCTAGTTAAATTTAGCAAATATAACCCAGACTAAAGGAACAAAACACCAAAGACCAGTAAAATTCATTCTAGCAGTCAGTGCCGATCATTATGGGGAAATAATGTTTAAAAGGAGAAAAAATATATAATCACCTTCCTACATGCTGTATCCAAAAGATATGTGATAAAAATAACTTATTTCTGATAAAAAAAAAAAAAAGCTCATCCTAAAATGGGAATGGATGGATGTATTCCTGAGATTGTGTGTGGGTGTGTGTGTGTATGTGGCCTAAAACTAGTAATTATTCCTAGTATTATTCCTGAAAATACCAAAAGAATCAATTGAAAACCTATTAGAAACAAATTGGATTTACTGGCTTGATACAATGCACTTACTACCCCACAGCAGAATTGAGAGAGAAAGATGAACGACCCCAGATAGGATAAGCTGGGAACTGAACTTTCAGATACTCACCTTGGCAGTATAATTTGGGGGTCTCCCATGTACCCAAGGCTGTGCAGCTTGAAACTGTGTCTTTGGTGGCACTGAAAAATCCATCTTTGCAGGCATAATGAACCTGGCTGCCCAGCCGAGAGGTGAAATTTCCTACAATGTAGCCATATGGGACTTCGGGAGGGGTGCCACAGTCTATTTCTGAAAATAAATTTATGTCAAATTCCTTAGCCTGTGAATGGGAATCGTGAGAACTCACAGTCTCGCTCCACCTGGACCCACTGCCCACAGACAGCCCGCCGTATCTGAAGTACACGGGTTCAGGTCCACACTTCTGGGTGTGTTTCCAATGAGTGTCCTTATCTAGTCCTCTGGCCTACCATAGATATTTGCTTATCTATATATGCACAAAGCTGAAAGAATCTAGCCATCAACCCCCCTGAGCTCATACAAACAGGAGCCTAGTCCAAGGAAGTAGAAAATCTGAATTGCAAAATATATACCTTAAGACACACGTGCCTTTATCATGTTCAGGGTCACTCTGGACATAGGTCCTTAACAGATCGGTGGTGCTTACTCCCTAAGGCGGTTGTTACTATGACAACAGTTATTGGCTGCTCACCCTCCCTGAAGTTGGCTAAGTTTAGCCTCTATAACAGGGTCCCTTCTATCTTGAGGCTCCCTTTTGCTTTGTTTTGTAGGTTGTACAAATTACAAAGAAGGGATCATCTCCACCCATATCCCCAACACAGATCAACAAACACCAGAGCCGGGGAAAGTCACCATCCACAGAACCTCACCCGGAGATGCTGCATCCCCGGCAGAAACCCACCTGTGCACAGTGTGGCGTCTCTGGCTGGGTGGTAAGGCGAGGGCCCATTCTTGGGCAAATACCCATCCATACAGTGGCATTCAAAGCTCCCCTGAGTGTTCACGCAGCGTCCTCCGTGCCTGCACAGGCCAGAAACTTCACACTCATCGATGTCTTGAGACCCATCCCGAACATGAGAAGAGAAAAATAGAAAAAGCAAAATAAGGGGGAACATGGCGACAGTTATGTTCTCACATCCTCAGTCTCTCCTTCTAAGTGAATGCATTTGTTTGCAATCGAACCATGAATTTCATTTTACTCATTAAGGGTTCTCACATATCCTTCACACTTGGGGCATTCAAAACATACAAAGTGCTCAATAAAATATCTGTTGATGTGTTCTGGCAATTGACAAAAACCAACAACCATCACCATTCCCCAACAAAAAGTGTGCTAAAAAATTTCAATTCCTGGGGCCAGCATTGTGGCACAAGTTGGTTAAGCCATCACCTGCAACACGGTCAACCCATATAGGTGCCAGTCTGAGTCCCCGCTGATCCACTTCTGATCCAGCTCGTTGCTAATGAGCCTGGGAAAGCAGCAGAAGATGGTCCAAGTGCTTGGGTCTCTGCACCCACATGGGAGACTCAGATGGAGTTCCAGGCTCTTGGCTTCGGCTTGGCCCAGCCACTTGGGGGGTGAACTAATGGGTAGAAGCAATCTCTCTCTCTCTCTTCCCTGTTTCTCCCTCCCTCTCTTTCTGTAACTCTTCCTTTCAAATAATGAATAAATAAATTTATTTAATGTGGCTCTATTAAAACTCATTCTATTTTTTAATGTTTATTTTTGTTCTTAGAGCACAAACATCTCATCGTTCACACTGATCACTGTTTGAAAAGCAGCAGTTCAGGGCCGGCACCCATGGCTCACTAGGCTAATCCTCCACCTTGCAGCGCCGGTACACCAGGTTCTAGTCCCGGTTGGGGCGCCGGATTCTGTCCCGGTTGCCCCTCTTCCAGGCCAGCTCTCTGCTGTGGCCAGGGAGTGCAGTGGAGGATGGCCCAAGTGCTTGGGCCCTGCACCCCATGGGACACCAGGAGAAGCACCTGGCTCCTGCCATCGGATCAGCGCGGTGCGCCGGCCGTGGCGGCCATTGGAGGGTGAACCAACGGCAAAGGAAGACCTTTCTCTGTGTCTCTCTCTCTCACTGTCCACTCTGCCTGTCAAAAAAATAAAATAAATAAATAAAAATTAAAAAAAAAGAAAAGCAGCAGTTCAGTCAATTGCTGCAGGTTCCTACAGAGGCCCCAATTCTGATCAACCTGTACCTTCAGTGCAGCCAACTCTGGGGAACTCCGTGAGAGACGGCCTCCAACATGGCTGCCAACAAGCCCACCAGCCCTTTCTCACAATGGCCACTTCTCTTCTTCCATCAGGCATGAAACTACCTCCCCTGGGGCTGCTCCTGACACTGGCTCAGGCCAAGAGAATGTAGCCGAAGTGGCACTGTGCCTTTTGGATTTAGGCCTAACAAGTCTGCCAGCTCCTTCCTCCCTCCTCCTAGAATGTTGTGGCCATGGCTGCAGGTGCAGGCCCGTGTGTTAGGGAGAGAGGTTAGGTCAGTCAGAGAGGCCCTGGAGATGAGGCACCAAGGGAGGAGAGAGGCCACTGGGAGGGCAGAGTGCCTTGGGCAACAGCCAGCAGCAACCTGCCAGACCAGCCCAAGCACCGGCTGAATGTCTCCTCCGAAGGGACTCAAGGCACAGCCATGAACCAGAACTATCCGGTCAAACTGTGGGATTGAGGAAAACAAGAAATGGTCAGCGTGTTAAGCCATTCAGTGCAGGGGCAAGTGTGGGCAGCAGGTAATGCAGCAATAAATAACCAAGACCCCTCTGACATAAGAACAGACGCACAGAGGCTGGCGCTGAGGCCTACGGGGTTAGGCTTCTGCTTGCAGAGCCGGCATCCCACATGGGCACTGGTTCAAGTCCTGGCTGCTCCACTTCCAATCTAGCTCTCTTTTTATGGCCTGGGAAAGCAGTAGAAGATGGCCCAAGTGCTTGGGCCCCTGCACCCACGTGGGAGACCAGGAAGAAGCTCCTGGCTTCGGATCAGCCCAGCTCCAATTGTTGCAGCCATTTGGGGAGTGAACCAACAGATGGCAGATCTCTCTCTCTCTCTGCCTCTTTCTGTAACTGCCTTTCAAGTAAAGAAATAATCTTTAAAGAGGGAGAGAGGGGAGAGGGGAGAGGGGAGAGGGAACTCCTGAGAAAATAATGAAATCTTGGAAATTGAAACAGGAATGCCAAAAATAACTCAACAGAGACACTGAATAGGAAGCTGCTCGCTGCTGGAAGACAGATTTGCAAGCCCCAACTTGAGAAATTCTCCAAAAACAAAGGGAAAAAAGGAGAAGTTATGGGACACAGAAATTATGGGATGTGAACAAAATGTTATGGGGACAGACTTAAAATATTCAACATCTAGTTAAGGGGAACTGCAGAAGAGACGGGAGTGGAGGTTCAATCATCTCAAAGGAGGGAAAAGCCCTTTGTTTGTAATCCAAGTCTATGTGGACATTTAAGGTAAGAGGCATGGACACTGGAAAATGAACGCTGCTCTCCTGAGGATAACACAGGGCTTTGGCTGAAAACTGAAACTTAGACCTGGCCACTAGGCCCCAGAGCAGTGTTGACCATACTTGTCTTCCTGCAGTTTCTCTCTCTCTCTCTCTCTCTCTCTCTCTCTCTCTCTCCCTCCCTCCCTGGAGCTCCCTCACCCACCTCCAGGTTCTGGGGTTCCCTAGGCCCAGCCCCAGCGTGTTCACGCCCTGGGGTGCAGGACTCCCAGCCCAGGTAGAAAAGGCCGAGGGATGGCTGCGAGGGAAGGCAGTCTTTGACAGAAGTACACGAACTGTGTGAAAACCTCAGCCTCACACAAATGCTCCCTGTCGTGTGACCCTGCCACACGAAGTCTCCTGAACACGCAAATCTACACAGCTAGAACGCGGGCCAGTGGTGGCCTAGGACAGCCGCAGGAAGGGGGAGTACCGATGCATATGGGGTTTCTTCTGGGGATGATGGGAACGCTCCATTGTTAGTTTATAGCGATATGTGTAGATGTCCATGAATATATGTTGGGGTTTCCAAAAGTCTGTGGAGGGGCAGGCATTTAGCCTGGTAGTTAGGACTCGTGTCCCAAATCAGAGGGCATGGGTCTGAGTCCCTGTGGCTCTGACTCCTGACTGCAGCTTCCGGCCAGTGCAGACCCTGGGAGGCAGCAATGATGGCTCAAGTAGCTGAGTTCCTGGCATCCACCTGGGAGACCTGGATGGAGTTGCCAGCTCCCGGCTTCAGCCTGGCCAATCCTACCTATCACAGGCATTTAGGGAGTGAATCAGCAAATGGAAGTGTTCATTTTCTCTCTCTCCCTGCTTCCCTCTCTATGTGTGTGTGTGTGTGTGTGTCTCACAAATTTAAAAAATTAATGGGAAAATGGAATTAACTTTTGGTATAAAAAGTTAGAAATCTGGGATTGGCACTGTGGTGTAGTGGGTAAAGCCGCTGCCTGCAGTGCCAGCATCCCCTATGGGCACCAGTTAGAGTCCCAGCTGCTCTACTTCTGATCCAGCTCTCTGCTATGGCCTGGGAAAGCAGTAGAAGATGGCCCAAGTCCTTGGGCCCCTTCACCTGTGTGGGAGATCCAGAAGAAGCCCCTGGATTGGTTGGGCCCTGCTCTGGCTATTACAGCCATTTGGGGAGTGAACCAGAGGATGGAAGACTTCTCTCTCTCTCTTTCCCTCTGCCTCTCTATAACTCTGCCTTTTAAAAAAATGAATAATTTTTTTTAAAAGTTCAAAATCTATGCATAATTGTTCTATAAAAATATGTCCTAGGGGGCCAGCATTGTGGCACTCCATATGGGCGCCGACTGTTGTAGCTATCTGGGCAGTGAACCAGCAGGTGGAAGATTCTCCCTCTTTCTCTCTTTATAACTCTTTCAAAATAAATAAATCTTTCAAAAAAAATTCTAAAAGTACTGAATTACATACTTTAAATGAGTACATTTTAGCAAATGTCAACGAAGTCATTTTTTTAAAGAAAAATCAAAATCACTCTGAATCCCATGAAACAAGAGAAACATCCACAGACCCCCTAAAGAAAACAAATGATCTTCTGTGATGAGAAACCCTGCCTGACCCAGGTCTTCTTGTCAGAAACACTGAACTCTGCACAGCCATGGGGTAACATTTATAGAGTTCTAAGGAGAACACAACAAACATCACGCTCTGTTAAGCAAAGAAATGACATTTTAGAACATGAAAGATCTTAGGAATTACACCACTGACATTTCTTTTCTAAAAAAAAAAATTGGAGAAAATACTCCAGCAGTGGAAAATATCAGAGTAAACAGTGTCCAGACACAACAAAGAGTTAGGGAAAATGAGACCCATAAAACAGAGCTTAAAAGTCACTGATAATAGAATCGTGGAGTCTGGGGTAATTATTCTGAAAGGATTATTAAAGTAGAATAAATAGGAGCCGGCCGCTGTGGCATAGTGGGCTAAGCCTCAGCCTGCAGCACCAGCATTCCACGTGGGTACCAGTTCGTGTCCCGGCTGCTCCTCTTCCAATACGGTTCCCTGCTATGGCCTGGGAAAGCAGAAGATGGCCCACGTGCTTGGGCCCCTGCACTCGCATAGGAGACCTGGAACAAGCTGCTAGCTCCTGGCTTCAGATCAGCCCAGCTCCAGCTGCTATGGCCATTTCGAGAGTGAACCAGTGAATGGAAGGCCTTTTTGTCTGTCTCTCCCTCTCTCTGTAGCTCTACCTCCAGATAAATAAATAATTTTTTTTTGGAAAAAAAAGGATAATAAGCAAAGTAAAATCAGCATCATTCTACCAATTGTAGAGATGAAGGCAACACTGAAGAAGCCTAAGGGGGGTCTTAGATGTGACTCATCGTTCCAGCTTAGAAAGATTGTTTTTTAACTATTTTCTTTTTTAACACATAAACTTTTATTTATTTATTGGGAAGAGAGAGAGTACACTCTTCAAATGCCCAGATCAAGGCTGGGTGCCAGAAATTCAATCCAGGTTTCCTACATGGGTGTTAGGGGTTACTCGGGCTGCCTCCCAGAGTTGGCAGTGGCAGGAAGGTGGAATCAGGAG